ATGATGGGGCCCTTGAATATTGTTGCCCAGGGTACAGCGAAGTGTTAATCCGGCCCTGGCAGATATAAGTTTTTTTCTTCTCTCTGCCATATTTCATTTCATTTTATTTGTATTTTTATTGTACATAGAATTGTTTTATGAAATGGATAAATTTTATAATAAAAAAAAATCAAAAAAAATTATTTCATGTTGCAGCTATAAGACACAGGCGATGACTGAAGTGGTCTTCATCCAAAAAGCATTATTTTAGTTTTAACTCAGCACTCTCCACACATGCTCCTCTCTCACTCTGTGCSTTTGCTGCAGAAGGAGTTGGAGTTATGTTGCATTCAGGAACATGGTAAAAAAAATGTTTTCCGACACACATCTCGGRCGTTCATTGTCATCTTGTAAATACTATGAAAAAGGAACTGTTTAGATTGAACCACGGAGGTTAAACTCTTTGGATTAAACCAAAAATAAATAAATGAATAAGTGTGGGGTAACTTTGAAGAGTAAGGGGAAAAAATGTATTCATAATCRACTCACGGCTGCTCAAAATTATCTCATGACCACGCATTACTTCATTGGACGGACTCCAAACTACAAGTATGGTTGAAGGGTTGCAAAAAAAAAACTTTCTGAAAAGAGAGCAGCAGTATAACTTATTTATATAAATGAAACACAAGACTTCTGCAACATCATAACAGCAACAGCCCCAGCCACAGGACCTAGGCACCTTGCAGTTTTGGGTCACCTGTTCAGCAGCTAAAGCTGGGATCAAACTGGATCATGATGCACCAAGACAATGGGCCTCATGCAAGAACATGTTCTTATTCTTATCCTAAATTTCTCTTACTTTTGTTCGAATGAAGGGTTCGTACGAACATGYCACGTCAGATTCAACAAACTCTTCTATCTTCAGGAAAAATGTGTAAATGAGCWGCGTAAACTGAYGAATGCAYATCAGGTGTTCGCGCACGAGGAGAGGACATTAGCATAACTACCACCCTAAAAAAACCATATAAGGATATACGTTTCCTGCCCCACATACCAGGAAGTGTCCATTCATAAATGATATCGCAAAGTAAAAAGAAGAAATTTACGAGTTCGGAGATTGTAGTCCTGCTCTCCGAGATCGAGAAAAGAAAATCTGTTCTCTTTAGCAGCGTCATGTGGAATTAAAGGAGCTGCTAAAGCAGAGGTATGAAATGATGACTGCTGTTAATGTCGTGTCTCCTGTGAGTCGTATACAGACACAGAAATAAAAATCTAAATCATATTCATCTCTCTCTAGTTCTGCTCTGGTTTTCCTTTGGTCAAATATTTTTAATTTAAGTGTAAACAACCATGTTACTTAGTTTTCATTTATTCAGAAGAAGAGCAGTCGCGCACCRCTACTTATAATACGAGAAAATTGGTGAATGCCACAAATTCTCCTAAATCACTCGTACRCACAACTTAAGGACAAATCGGTGCGTACGAACGGTTCTTGCATGAGGCCATTCTCATTATTTAATAAATAAATCAAATCCATATTGTGGGTTAATTTGAATGATTTATAACCTGGTAAAGACCTTTTTATCATGGCCTGATACTTAAAACTAGAACTAAGAAAAAAAGGACAAACTTTCTTTTCTCTAATATTTTGTAGACAGTTTGTGCTTACCCAGGAAGATATGAATTACATGTCTGATATCCAAAGTCTTTTCCGTCACACTCCTCTGCGCCTTCGTAGCGGTACCCGTCCCCGCAGTAGGCATGTTTACACTCTATGGAAAGGCGAGACAGAAGGAATGTGGAGGTCATGTTACACGCGCACAGCAGAGTACCACTAAAGGAACCGTTTAGGACCGTCTGTTTGACGTGGACTTACTGACACAGCCGTCAGTGACGACTCGGTTTCGGTCGTCACACTCCTCCCCGTTGGAGATCTGCACGATCCCGTCACCGCAGTAGCCGTCGTCATCGGGRGCATTTTCCATAGACTGGAAGGGCGTCATCTGGAATGGAAAAACCTTTTTTTTTCCAGAATGTTAATATCTTGAGCAAAATGAGAAATCTGAACATTGCCGTGTCATATGTTCAGGAAAGAAAAGACGCGGATAAGAAAAACTGCATCACGTAAAGTTTACCTGGATGGGCAGCCAGCCGTTAACGTCTTTGAAATAAAGAGATCTCTGGTCTTTTCGGAATGCGAGAGCGTTATCAGTCTGAAGACGCTCCAGTTCTTCCTCGTTGCTCACCACAAATATCTAAACGAAAGACAACATGTCAAGATTTACTGTAAAGATTTCAACAATTTAGCATTTTACATCAAAATGTTTTTTTTAAGAATTCAAATATAATAAACCCTAAGGGGATTGGTCAGCAGTTTTGAAGTGGGAAGGTTTAATATTTTTAGTTAAATCTCATTGAATGACTTTAGCTTGAAGAAACAAGAGTTTAATTCTGACAGACTGATGAGGTAAAGGCTAGTCCAAGCAGAGCCAAGAACCAGTTTACCATATTTATTCATGTATAATACGACCCACCCTTTTTCGAGCTTAAAAAGCATAAAAAATTTAATCCTCAAACTACCTCCAATTTCATACAGACTTCAAGATTTTTCAGCCTTTGCAGTATTTATACATATCAGAAAATGATCATTGGACTGTTCATTTAATTTTAACAACATATGTACTAAAAGGTATTTTGACAACAAATATATATCAGCTGTAGCAGCAGCATATGAATTCTGGCATTTTACACATAGTCCACCAGGAGGCGCCAACACAAAAGTCAGAGACTTCACATGAGATTTGGGCCATCTTGTGGAGGAAAAGCAGATTACTTCCTACTCGTGAGCGCCCCCTCTGGTGGGGAAACATTTTTTCAGGGATACAAACTTTTTCAGAACACCGGTAAACGGCAGCCATTACAGACGAACATGTGTTTGTTGTTGTTGTTCCAGGAGCGGCTCGGTCACACACTGATGTCAATAGTTTGTTATCATTACTAAGGTGAAGGAATACTTTTCCCCTTTTTTTCACATCATGTCGCCTGCTTGGATCTGTTATTATCTCCCTCTGAAGCACGGAGGAGTGTCAGAGGTAAGGTCGTTTCAACTGCTTTTACGATGCGGTCTCATTTCTGGACTCAGGCATTTTGTGAATGAAGTCGATACTTCAGTTAAAATACATAAGTAAAATATTTATTTGAGTATAGTACTACCCCCCAACTTTATGGATGATTTTTTGGATTTAATTTTACGTATTATACTTGAATAAATACGGCATCTTAAAAGGAACCCCAATTTGAAAGATGTCAAAACTTTGCTCTGGCACTTGGATATCAGCTCATCAATCCAAAATAATATATTTTCCCCAAGCTGAGGTCATTCAAAGAGCTATCTATCACAGGTAAGACGTTGTTATTTTAGTCTGACCATTTAGCTATAGTTACTAAAACATTATAAAACCTTCAAAAAAGTAAAAATCTGAGGTAAAAAAGCTGTACGTCGTCACTGAATCAAAGCATTAAAACACATTCTCATTCAATATCATTTTTATACAGTAAGTCTGGTTTGTGTTTACATTATCTTTGTACGTCTGATAGTTTACACTGAACTGCAATAATACTTCTTATTTTCAGAGGTGTATAGTAATAAAGAACTTTTACTTTATTACAGTAAAGTAGTTTTTGTGGATTTATAATGTTACCAAGTATTTTTTAATCATAACTTTTATTTTGTGACGTTCAAAATATAAAAATGATAATTTTACTTCTTTACTTTAAAATTTAACACCACATGTTACAAATTTAAATATGTCCAAACTCATTGTGAAATGAGTTGTTTATGCACGTGTCAAATTTACTTAACCAAGTTATATCAACTGGTTCCCCTGAGTAAATGTAAAGCGGTTTACTGAGTTCACTCAACTTGGTGAAGTGGAACCAGTTTCGTTAAGTAAATTCAATACTTCATTTCTTAGTGTGAAAAAGTACTTTTATTTTCACGATTATTGTGAGCAGTTTTATGAATTAAGTACTTTTTTTTATCAGGGAAATTCATTTTTACCAAAGTCATTTTATGTCAAGGTAATTTTACTTTGACTTAGTTAATTTTTACTAAGTACTTTACTGTTATTTCTCACCGCAGGTACTTTGGGGACGTTTGCTGCGGTGGCAAAATCGTCATACGGAGAACCACTGAGAGAGCTGCAGCTACACTTTCCAGGAGGCCCTGGTGGTCCTCTTGAACCTTTTGATCCAACCATGTACAGTCCTACACACACAGAAAATAAAAAAAACACGATAAGCAAATAAATGATAAGTGGGTACAAACAAGTTTCAGCTTCACTTTTAGTGTGCACGACTAGATCCTTTCAAAACAAATAAAGTCTGAAATTGTCACTTTAAGTGCTACAGGAGATCAAATAAACACCAGAAGGCACTGAATCCATTATATCCGATTCATCTATCAAGAAGAAAACACTATCAGCCTAATTCACACAAGATAAATGTCACTTAGATTATGTGGTGACATAATCTTTGTAAAACTGCAGGGTGGACTGCCACGTGTGAACTCACTTTAGCCACGTGATGTCATCAGAAGAGCATCGTGTTTCAACTCAGACTCAGAGATTAAATTTCTTGGGTGCTAAATACAACTGCTGATGTTACTGCTTACATTGATCTAAAGGGGGCTTCCTTCTGCTGGCTTTGACGCCCCTTTTTAAAAAAAAAAAAAAAAAAAACTCAAACTTGGAGTAACTTTCAAAAAGCAACAGAACCATATTCCTCCAAAATGGAATTTCTATCAAATGATCGAGAAGTTTGTTCGTTTTAAAATCAAAACCCTCTAAATGAAACTCACCTGTTGCAGGTAAGCCTGGAGGTCCAGGGTGGCCAGGAGATCCCTGTGGGCCTGCAGGTCCCATTGGACCAACTCTTCCTTGGTCTCCTTTCACTCCCTGAAATAATATAAAGTTAATTTAGTCGACTTATGAGACAATAACGAGCATTGTCTCAGGCTTGAAGGGTGCTTCTCCAGACGACGTGTTTCAGCTCCAGGATTTCAATCAGGACTCAGAAAAACATCTCAGAACAGTCCAGTGTTTGATTCTGATTCATTCTTGGGTGTTTTAGCTGTGTTTTGGGTCATTATCCTGTTGGAAGACCCATGACCTGCGACTTAGACCAAACTTTATAACACTAGGCAGAACATTTCTCACCAGAATGCCTTGATAGTCTTGAGAATTGATCGTATGCTGCACAGATTAAAGACACCCATTGTGGGCTTTTTCATCATTAAAGGGGACCTATTATGCAAAATTCACTTTTTAAAGTTTTTTTTACTCAACTTTGGGTATGTACTTCTTAAAAAAAAACAGTCCTAGGACCAAAAAAATGCACCCAGGGGTATATTTACTCTAAGTAAATGTATTTTTCATGTATATTAATGTTAAGTTTTCTACTTCCCTCGGCCTGTGACATCACAGGCCGGACTCAGCCCACTCCAACCTGAGTCCAACTCGTCTCCTTGTAACCCAAGCAGAGACTCAGCCCCGCGGCCGGCCAGTGAACTGTTTCTCGGGGGTCAATTTTGCTTGCAGCACCGCTATGCGCGCCAAGTTAGTTAGCTGCTGCTATCTGTAGACGACGCTTCACAAACTTCAGCTGCAGACGGTGAGTGCTTCATGCATTTAGTGAGATATTGAACGTAATTTATGGGACACATGTCTCGCTTGTGAAACTGTACCTTTTATTTATAAAGTTTGTACCGATATGTTTGTGCATGTTCCTTTCCAATGCTAACTAGTTAGCAGCTAGCGGCTATCGCTTGATAGCGATCGAGGCTAAGAACAACAGCCCCTGCTCTACATTTATTGTAAATAGTAATTAATCATGACCGTATTCTAGGCTAATCATTGGAGGGGTAACCAACAATTTTGTCCACGTGTATGAGAAAATATTTTAAGGATGCAAATTAGAGAATTTATTTGAAATGGTATCAGATTCTCTCAATAAATTTTAATGGTCCAGAGATCTGACATCTGTCAAAAATATAAAAACATTTGACAATAACTTGTTTTTAGTTTCTATAATGTTAAAATGAAAGGTGCAACTCAAAGATAAACATGCTACAGTTCTATAACATAAATATTATTTCAGCCATACATTTATTTCTGTGCATTTTCAATGGTTTTGGTGTTTATTGTGTAACACTGGAAGCACAAATATACAGTAACTGCAAACTCCTCACCTGCTTCCCCCTCTTCCCTGGTCGGCCCGTGGGCCCTCTGTTTCCTGGGGTCCCGGGTTCTCCTTTTGGACCCATTTCGCCCTGCACAACAGATCACGTTACATCATTAAAAACATTCATTTAAATAACCAAATGACAAATAAGCTGTATTTCTGGACGAACAGAGTTAAAAGCTCTGCTGTTACTTACTTTTTGTCCAAGCATTCCTGGGAAACCCATTGCCCCCTTTGAACAGAGAACAGCAGATAATATTCACTCAGATTTCTTTAATCAATGTGTTAAATGTCAAACACTGATACATTCTACCTACTTTGTCTCCTTTAAGTCCAGCTTCACCCCGCTCACCTCGGGAACCCTGATGGAGCAGAACACAACAAGTTACAGTATTTTACCTCCTAACAACCAATAATTACCTAAACAATCGCTTACCTTTTCTCCTTTATACCCTGGTAAACCCTAGAATTAAAACCAGTTCAAACAATTAAATGCAATGAAACAGACATAAAGTTGATTTTGATATCATTTCTGATTACAGATGTGGATCATACCCTCGGCCCAAACGACCCTCTGGCTCCAGGTAAACCCATCAAACCCTGGTCACCCTTCTCACCCTGACAGAGTGGAAAACAGACACAGGTGGATTGCCTCTTTATGAATTATTTAATTTTCTTCCCATCTCTTATGTAATTTCATAATTCATATCTACATGATGAGGCTGACTTACTCACTTTGGCTCCATTTGGTCCTGGCCAACCCGGCATTCCTGGCTTTCCAGGGGGACCAGGAGGTCCTGAGCGACCCTAAAATGACACATTATCTTAAATTTTTTTAATTATAATCATTAACCTGATTTAACCAACCAAATCCCATTGAGATCAAATGTGACCCATCATATCAAAATGAGGATTAAGTCAAATTTGGTCAAAATGACCTGAAAACATTTTCAGATTCTTGGCTTTAAAATCTACATTTTGATACCTGGATCATTCTGATATCATAATTAAATCCATAAATATGACTTAATTTGTCTTGTTGGTTACAATAATACATAAATATTTGGTCGAATCCTAATTTTATGTCCTTTTAATGAGGAATTTTTGATGTCCTTATAAAGAGGAAACCTCAAATTATATTTAAATATTGAGATTTCCGAGCTAAAAAGAAACAAAACATTGCTAGCTCACAGGGAAAACCTCAAACTTTTAATGCATTTTTCCTCAAAATTAGGTTTTTTGTTGCTACTGCTCAAAAAAAGTGCTTCAAATTTTTGTTTTATGATTATATTTCAGACAGTTCATTCAAACGATACATTGATATGGCATTTATTCATTAAATTTTGACAAAATGCAATTTTTGTTAATATTTTAGCCAAAACACTATTTGCCTTTTTCTCTCCATATATCACTTATGGACTTAATCCTCGTTTCGATGTGATGGGTCACAAATATGTCTTTTTTTGAAGAAAGGGGTAAGCCTTAAGGCAGCCTAAACAGTTTTAAAGTTTATGTAATTATATCTTTAAATGCCAGTTTGCTTTATGGGTTTAAAAAAACCTTAAAATGAAAAAAGCTAAATGCAGCATTAGCTGACAGCCATCCCACTCCAGCATCTATCAGCTGCTGCTGCGCATGCAGCAAGGGTGGGGGGGTGGCTGTAACGAGCCCTGTCGCTTTGCTCTCTTTAATTAAATGATGGGCTGTATATAGAACAGGAGTTCGGCTTGTTGGGAATAAAATGATTAATGATCTTGCCGAAGCACTAAGCTAAATTGCACTGCAGTGCTTTTCGAACCTGCTCGGCAAGGAGGCGCTTTTACTGCCCCGCTACAGCTACAGATCATTTAGGAGGTCACTTCTTCTCCACCTCATCAAAAACCATCCCGGTCCTTCCGAAACAGCTGTGCACCACTTTGATAACAGATAACAGGGAGGGACCACCCGACAGGGAGGTCTGATGCTGCAGATAACGCCGGTTCCACAAAATGTTAGGGTGTTGTGTAAATACAGGATGCAATCATTTACAGATCTCATCAACCTATGTTTCATTTACAACAAAGCAAACAAAAAAAGTAATTTTGAATTTGATCACATTCTGCTCTCGTCACTGAGGTCCTCCATCTACATGACAGAGAGGGGAACACAAAAATGACTCAGCCTGTAACTGAAAATATGGATGAAGGACCTCAGTTTAGCTTGTTAGTTTGTCGTACTAGCGCCGAGCTAATCCATATAAAGCAACATAGCATCGGCACTAGCAAAAACTCTTAACAGGCAGTTATTCTTGAAATACTTGATTTGACTCAATTTTTTCTTATTTCAAGAATCTTACCAAGTAAAACTTTCTTACTCCATTGGCAGAAAATTTTTACTTAATTTGAGTCAAATTTTCAGACTAACAAGAAAATAATCTTAAACATTTTGAAAACAAGATGATTATTCTTACACAATCAGTTCTTGTTCAGTAAATCAGTCTCAAAACAAGAGCAACAAGACTTTTTGGCTGATATAAGGTTTTAAAACTAGGTAAGATGGACAGTTTTTGCAGTGGAGCACATGTTCTACAGAATCTGTTTAAACTGTTCTACATTACTGAGGTCCTCATGCTCCCACATACCATCAGAGAGGCAGGCTTTTAAAATGTGTGCTAATAAGCTACAGTGGTTTGCAAAAGTATTCATACCCCTTGAACTTTTCCATATTTTGTCACATTACAACCACAAACATAAATATATTTC